GGAGAATAAAGGCATGGAATTCAGAAGGTTATTGTGATAAATCAGATGTCAGGAGGCTATTGATGTGGTAACTAGAAGATTATTGGTGGCCTGGGAGAAAACAGTTGCCAAGTGTCCTCAAGGCAACTAAAGTAGAATTAGAGATAATGTAAATAGAGGTTCAAACTACTAATATTAGCCCTGGTTGGTATGGCTCAGTTGGTTGGGCGTCGTCCCATGCCCTGAAAGGTTGCTAGTTCGAGTCCTAGTTTAGGGAACATGCTCTGGTTAAAGGCTTGATCCCCAGTAGGGGGTGTGCAGGAGGCAGCCAATCAATGTTTAGCTCTCACGTTGGTTTCTTTCTTTCCCCCTTCTCTCTCTAAAAGTCAATAAAAAAATCTTTTAAATATACTAATATTAGTATGAATATTAATACCACAAGGTTATAGTATTAGAAGGGTCAGCAATGTGGAAGTTGTTACTACATGTGAGGAAAAGGAAAAGAATGGTTGTAAACATGATACTAGTATCGAGAAAAGACAGTGTCCTGGTGGTCAGTAGATAAGAGGAATGAAGAAAACCCTAAGGTTAAGTAAGTGGTATAGATATAAAAGGAGTTATTAGAGCAAAGGCAAAAGTGTGATCTAGAAGTACCAGGGAGAAGAAGGGTTATTCCTGTTTAAATGTTTGCCAGTATAAAATTTCCTGTGAAAAAAGGATACATGTATATGCAAACCTGTTTTGCATATACAGGTTTTGCAGAGAAATATCATTAACTGCTTTAATGAAAAGTACTAAGAGCTGTAAGAAATACTAATTATGATTTATTTTTTTAAAAACCCATCTAGTGAATCAATGGTTTGTTTGTTTTGTTTAAATTAAACTTTATTTAAAAACCAATTTGTCTGACCACAATGGCATGAAACTAGAAATTGGCTACAAGAAGAAAACTGGAAAATTCACAAGTATTTGTAGATTAAACAACATGCTACTGGACAACCCAATGGGTCAATGAAGAAGTCTAATGAGAAATTAAAATATATACCTTGAGACAAATGAAAATTGTAGTATAGCATGCTAAAATGTATGGATGCAGCAAGAGCAGTTCTAAGAGAGAAGTTCATAAAGATAAGTGCCTACATTAAGAAATAAGAAACATCTTGCCCTGGTTGGTGTGGCTCAGTTGACTGGGCGTCATCCTGTGCATTGAAAGGTTGCTGGTTCGAGTCCTGGTTGGGGCACATGCCCGGATTGCAGACTTGATCCATGGCGGGGGGCATGCAGGAGGCGGCTGATCAATGTTGTGCTTTCACATCAATGTTTCTCTGTTCCTTCCTCTCTCTCTCAAAATCAATAAGCTATTCTTTAAGAAAAAGAAAGATCTCAAACACAACCTAACTTTACATCTCCAGGAATTAGAAAAGGAACAAACAAAGCCCCAAATTAGAAGGAAGGAAATAATAAAGATCAGAGTGGAAGTAAATGAACTGTAAATTAAAAGACAATAGAAAAAAATCAGTAAAACTAAGAGCTGGTTCTTTAAAAAGAAAACATTGATTAACCTTTAGCTGGACTCACCAAGAAAAGAGAGGACTCAAAATCAGAAATGAAATGTTACAACTCATACCACAGAAATACAAAGGATCATAAGAGACTACTTTGAACCATTAAATGCTGATATATTAGGCAACCTAGAAGAAATAGATTAAATTCCTAGAAATATATAACCTTTCGAAACTGAATCATGAAGAAATAGAAAATCTGAACAGATTGATCTCCTTAAGGAGATTGAATCAGTAATTAGAAACTTCCCAACAAGCAAAAGTCCAGTATTAGACAGCTTCACTGGTGAATTCTACCAAGCATCCAAAAAGGAATTAATACCAGTTTTTCTCAAAGTCTTCCAAAAAATAAAAGGGAATACTTCAAAACTCATTTTACCAAAACCAGACAAGGACACCACAGGAAAGGAAAAGTACATGCCAACGTCCCTGGTGATCACAGATCCTTAACAAAATGTTGGCAGACTGAATTCAATAATACAAAAGGATCACATGCCACGACCAAGTGGGATTTACTCCAGGGATACAAGGATGGTTCAACATCCTCAAGTAAATAAATGTAATACAACACGTTAACAAAATGAAGGAGAAAAGTCATATAAACTCAACAGAGGCAGAAAAAGCATTTGACAAAATTCAGTGTCCATTTATGATAAAAACTCAATGAAGTGGGTATAGAGGGAACATAACCTCAACTTAATAACGGACATATATACCCCACTTATATCATACTCATTGGTGAAAAGCTGAAAGCTTTTCTGGTAAGATCAGGAACAAGACAAGAATACCTGCTTTCACCACTTTTATTTAACATACTATTGGAAGCCCTAGCCAGAGCAGTTAGGCAAGAAAAAGAAATGAAATTTAAATTTGAAAGGAAGAAGTAAAACTGTCACTATTGCAGATGACATGATATATATAGAAAATCCTGAAGACCCCACCAAAAAACTTGGAACTATTAAACTCAGTAAAGTTTCAGGATACAAAATCAAAATGCAAGAATCTGTTGCATTTCTATACATTAATAATGAACTGTCATAAAGAGGAATTAAGAAAAACAATCCCACTTACAATTGCATCAGAAAGAATAAAATACCCAGGAATAAATTTAACCAAAGAGGTGAAAGACCTGTACACCAAAAACTATAAAGACATGATGAAAGAAATTGAAGAAGACACAAAAAAATGGAAAGATATTTTGTGCTCATGGATTAGAAGAATTAAGTGTTAAAATGTCTATCCTACCAGTCTACAGATTCAGTATAGTCCCCACCCAAATTCCAATGACAGTTTTCACAGCTACAGAACAAAGAAACCTAAAATTTGTATGAACCACAAAAGACCCTTCAGCCAAAGCAATCTTGAGAAAGAACAACATAAGTTCAGTCACCATACTCCCTGTCAAACTATATTACACAGCTATAGTAATCAAAACAATATGGTATTTGCATAAAAACAGACACATAGATAAATGGAACAGAAAAGAGAGCCCAGAAATAAACCCATGCATATGTGTTAGGACAAAATAGCCAAGAATACAAAATGGGTGAAGGACCATCTCTTCAATAAATGGTACTGGGAAAACTCGACCACTGTCACACCGTACACAAAAATCAATTCAAAAAATGAATGAAAGACTTGGCTGTTAAGACCTGAAACCGCCGCCGAGCCAGGCGTGGCTCAGTGGTTGAGCATGGACCTAGGATCCAGGAGATCGCAGTTCGGTGCCCCGTCAGGGCACATGCCCAGGTTGTGGGCTTGATCCCCATTCGGGGGCGTGCAGGAGGCAGCCTATCAATGACGACTCTCTCATCATTGGTGTTTCTGTCTCTCTCCCTCTCCCTTCCTCTCTTTGAAATCAATCTATATTTAAAAAAAAAAAAAAGATCTGAAACTGCCTAGGTGGTAAGCTCTTTAACATCGGTCTGGATTTTTGATACCAAAAACAAAACTAAGAAAGTTGGACTACATCAAACTAAAAAGCTTCTTCACAGCAAAGGAAACTATCAACGAAGTGAAAAGGCAGCCTACTGAATGGGAGGAAGTATTTGCAAATCACTTATCTGATAAGGAGTTTGGTATCCAAAATATATAAAGAGCTCATACAACTCAATAGGAAAAATACAGTCTGGTTTAAAAATGGGCAGAAGATCTAAATAGATAGTTTTCCAAAGAAGAAATGCAAATGGCCAATCCATACCTGAAAAGATGCTGATATGACTAATCACCAGGGAAATACAAACCAAAACCACAGTGAGCTATTACCTCATTAATATTACCTGTTGGAATGGCTGTTACATATGTATAAAAAAAAAAGCCCAACAGACACGGCTCAGAGGTTGAGCATCAACGTAGGATCCAGGAGATGGTGGTTCGGTTCCTGGTCAGGACACATGCCCTGGTTGTGGACTCTGTCCCTAGTTGGGGCGTGCAGGAGGCATCTGATCCGGGACGACTCATCATTGATGTTTCTTTCTCCCCCCTCCCTTTCTCTCTCTGAAATCAATAAATCCTATTTTCAAAAACCAACACAAAAACCCCGCAAGAAGTAACAAGTTTTGGCAAGGATGTGGAGAAAAGAGAACCCTTGTGCACTGTTGGTGGGAATGTAAATTGGTACAGCCACTATGGTAAACAGTATGTATGTTCCTCAAAAAATTTAAAATAGAACTATCATGTAGTTCCACTGTTCCACTTCTGGGTATTTATTCAAAGGAAACAAAAACACTAACTGGAAAATATGTATAACCCTCATGTTCATTGCAATATGCAAGATATGGAAACAACGTAAGTGTCCATCGATGGAGGAATGAATAAAGAAATAGTGATATATATATGTAATGGTGATGCATAAAATGGAATAAGAGTCAGCCAGAAAAAGAGAATGAAATCTTGCCATTTGTGACATGAATGGACCTGGAGGGCATCATGCTAACTGAAGTAAGTCAGAGAAAGACAAATACCATAGGGTCTCATTTATATGCAGAATCTGAAACAAACAACGCATAGCTACAGAGGACAGAATGGTGATTGCCAGAAGGGAGGGGTGAAATGGGCGAAGGTGGTCAGAAGGTGCAAAGCTCCAGTTATAAAGTAAATAAGTCAAGGGATCATAATGTACAGCATGGTGACTGTAGTTAATAATACTGTGATGTATATTTGAAAGTTGCTAGGAGAGTAAATCTTGAAAGTTCTCATCAAAAGAAAAAAAAGTTGTAACTGGTGATGAATGTTAACTAGACTTACTGTGGTGATTATTTCTCCATATATAAAAATAATGAATCATTATGTTTGAAACTAATAGAATGTCATATGTCAATTACATATCAATTAAAAAAAAACAAGTTTGCAAATGCAGTAATGTACAAGACAGGTATTTTTGGTGTATGAGTGGGGTTTTTTTGTGTTTGTTTCCTCTTTTATTGTATCTCTTACATTCTTTTTTATTTGTTTACTTAGATACACAGAAGTAAAAACAAATGGAAATTTCATCTCAAGGATGGCATTATGAATCTTAATGGAAGAGATTATATATTTTCCAAAGCCATTGGAGATGCAGAATGGTGAAGAGTTGGTTCATTTCTTTTATAAATAAAACGAAAGAAACTTAAAAAAAAAATTAAAGTGGACAGTTTGAAACTTGGGACATAATCCAACCAAAACTTAACTTCTGCATGTCAGAAAAAGCGCAGTAGAAGCAAAGCTACTGGAACAAAGAGATCTTGACAACATAGACACTACTTCTAACTGGCAAGCCATGGAACTGTAGCACCTGGGGTTGTTGGGGGAAAGGGTGGTTGGCATTTTGTGTAGGAAAACCCTAATTGTCAATTTTAAATACAGGTACCTGCCACTGGTAATTAGCATGTAAAGCTTTGTCTATATTCCTTCCTCCAACTTGGGTTCAATCAGAAAATACTGGTTAGAATGAACTGAAGGAACTTCCCTTTTCATAGATTGAAATGAAACTCCTTACTGTATGTGGTTATATTTGGTAAAAATTGCGTGTGAGCTTTTTACAAAAGGGCAAGAATTATGGTGTTGAATTTTAATTCACTTGTGTAAGGAAACAATTAGAACTCTCATAATAGGTCTTAAATGTTTTTACTTGCTGTTCCCCTCAGTAATATATACCTCTTCCTTCCCTGCTTTACGAAACATCTATTTAAAAGTTAAAGGGAGTAATCAGTGACCACAGTTTGGAGACAGAATTTGACCCAGGAATTGATACTTATTTTAATTAGGTTTTCGTACTCATTAAACTAGGGTCTTATCTAAGCAGAATTCAAATGACAACTTCAGTTTCCTTGCAGAAAAGTTGTAATTGTTTCTTTTAGCCCCACACCTTAAAAGAAACCCTAAAGTGGCTCCTTAGAAATACGGTTTTATTTCACAAAGGTACCATTAAGCTGAAATTATATACACATGAATGGATACAGATTTTTTTCCTGTTGGGCTGAAGTGTATGCTTATATACGTGTTTAGTCTTTAAGCCAAACACACGTTCATATAACATTCTGTTCATTGAAGCGTTGCACAGGTGATGAGGACCTGGATTTTTATTAAACGATTTAGTAATTATACAAGTTTCTTGTGTTTACTAGTAAAGAATTATAAAACTATTATTTTAATTGAACAAATTTTTTAAAATGCAACTTTGTAATTTGAAGGGCAATTTTGGGGATAGAGGGGGGTGGGCCACTAAGTACATATTTACCTCTTTCATTTGGTGGCCCTTCTCGGCCATTGATAATATTAAACATGGGCTTTAGTTTGCACATCGGGGAAAAAAGCATATAAATTTGACTTATATTAAAAATAATAGAAACTTAATATGTATATTAAGAATGCATAGCTCTGTATTCTATAAGGGGCTCTAAAATACAACATGGCAGTGCTGTGTTCAGTGTGCGCTAGTTGCCCGGGAGAGCTGTAGGAACACTGATCTTCACCTTGGTTCTTACAGCTAATTCTTTTCATGGTTTATCTTGACAGAATTCACATGTGTTTAAGTTACTTTTGTATAATGATTTTTTTAAAAGTCTTCCATTTTTGTCTTATTTGCCTTTGTGTTTCCAGAAGTAACATAGAAACACTTTAAAGTACATTGCAAAGAAAAACTGTGAGCTTATTATATATTTTTTCTTTTTTTAACACAAATCTTTAAAATTCTCAAAAAGGCTAATTTTTTTCTGCCTACTTGCCACCCCATGTACCAACTTGGTCCCTTTAACTTATGTTCTGAACATTGGTATAAATGGTGGTTTCTAGCATGCTAGTAGTTAGATTTTATTAGATGCCATAACTGGTAATACGGTTTTTATTTTTACTATGTTAATTTAGTTTTTTGGAGGGGAGATTTATTTGTTTACCCCACTACTCTCAAGCACACACAGGTTTTTCTGTTTTTGATTGAGACTGGGAGAAGAGAAGGGAGAGAGTGAGTCACAGAAGTCCTTTTGTTCAGTTGTGCTTCAGTATCGTTGATGGTAGGTTGGTATTTACCCAGTGAAGAGTCGATGACCTGAACTACCTATGGAAGTTTAGCAGTGCTGCAGTGTTGATTCAACCTTTTGACTGTCTAGTAGTTCTTATGCTACTGAACCTTGTATTATTAAAGGATATTCAGCTCATGTTTGGGGCCCTCTATGTAGACAAACATTTGCATTCATAGTAGAATTGTATTCTGGCCTGTTTTTATAACGTTATTTTCAAACATGAAAGAAACCACTGCTTTCAGAGTGATTCACTAGGGTTAATACCTATTTGTATTTGCACCTGTGTATTGCATATTAATTATGGCGTACTTGGCAAATGCTTTTCATTTACCTGTGAAAATTCTGAAAGCCAGTCCAAACAACACTGCATACCAAATTGTGCTCTTATATATTACTGCATTGTGTTCCTTTTTAATCGAATAGCATGTTTTAGTTTTATTATGGTGGCTTACTATAAGAATGCCACTTTCTTATCTTTTATTGTACTTGAATTCTTAATCATGCTTTTAACATTGTATTTAACAAATCATTTCATTAAGTTCTATAAAAATGTCATTCCTTTGAAAAGGCAAGGATTCCCACTTCAGAATTTTAAAATGAAAATGTTTATTCAAAGAGGGGAAATAGTTCAGACTTGGTTTTATGAAAACAGGTAAAGGTTTCAGAAGAGGAATTGTTTAGATTTGCACAGATGGTGATGGCACCTTTTATTTAAAGAAAAGATTGACTTTAATCAACAGTGCAAAGGAAAATTTTCACAAAATTAATTGATAAAGTGTGGAAATGTGTGCCTCTCACTATATGTACTCTTTTTTTTTTTTGGTGGTCAGTGGGATAATCAGACCACATGAATGCCTGAGAGCACGTTTAATTTCTGTGGAGAGCCACATTTGGCTAAAACAACTCTTTAATGTGCAATTAGTTTCTAGAGTAAAATGTCTGTTATATGAGGGGGATCTTTATATTGGGCTTTTATATTTTTTTTAATGTTCACATTTCTTTCTGTTAATTAAATGCCATCTTAATATCACATTTATATTGTTGCCTCTCTTAAAATCAAAGCTACCTTGATGTTGTCCTTCTAGGAATACATCAGGATTTGAGGGGAGTGTATAGTAATTAAAATGTGTTTTTTGAAGAGCATATTCTAATAGACTGGTTTTACACATCAAGAACATAAAAATATAATAGCTTTTGTATAAAGGTTTTCTTTTGCTATAGTGAAAATCAAGGATTTGGTTTTCTTTTTTCTGCTTTTTATGGAGGAATGAAAAGGGTTGTCTCCTCTAAGACTAATTTTTGATTATCTTATAGCAATAATGCCACCATTCTTTTCAAAGGTAAATATGCCTTGTACAGGAAAACAGACATAATTTCCTCTTGGGAGTTTTCTTTATAACTTAACATTTTCTTCCACTTAGAAAATTGCTATTTTTTTCAGATTATTTCATCTTGAACTTTTTTGAGATTTTGTGCAATGTAATATTTTATTGATCCATCTTTGTACATTTTCATTTTATTTCATTTGTCTGTCTTCCACCTGTCTGAGTCAGCTATTTCAGATTTTGAATTCATTGGTTAAAAAATAGTTGCTATGTATAGTTCCTCATGAGTTTATGTTGAATAGTTTTGCATTTTAATCTATTATGCTATGGAAATTATTCTGAAGTTTATATTCCCCCTTTAAGCCTGCCTTAGTCTATCTTTTGTCATTTTTTATAGTTTAAGAAAGAACACACCAAACTTAATATGTTTGTTTATTTTGAGGAACAAGAGAAACTTTCCCTTCTCTTTTAAGGGAAGAACTCATTGAGTTAGTAACTACTAACTATTAGTAAGTTACTAGTTAGTTAGTAACTGTTTCTGTCGAGGTTCCTTAAATCGGTCCAGTATGCGTCAGGGCTACAATTTGGGGGAGGGACTAATCCTTTTTGCTGTTCTGAGCTACTATTGTCAACTGCTGTTGTACATACTGTTATGTGTAAGGGCGTAAATATATTTATTATGTTTGTATAATTCATCTGTACAATTGCAGATCAAGGTTGCTCTTCTGTGATATATGGGATATTATGTTTTAAAGACCATCTTGGAATACAATTAGAGAACTTAGTATTTTGATGTACTAAGACCTATTTTAAGTTTAATATTTTACCTTTGCAAAAACTTTAATTAAAGATGTTATTTAAAAAAGTAATGTTGCTTGCTTTGCTTACTAGTGTATAATATTGTTATATAGATAACTGAATAAAATTATACAGTTTAGAAAGGAAAGTGCTTTACATTGTTAATGAGAATAAGTTCCATTTATCAAAAAAAAGGTATCATATTCTATACCTTTAAATTTAAGTAGGGTGAGGTATCAGTCTGAATTATTAAACTTTGTTACAAATTCTTAATCATTTAAACAAAGAATAGTTATACTTCCCAGGCACACAGGAATTTAAATTGGGCTAAATTCACACCAACAAAGTGTAACTTTGAAAATGATGTAATTAACATACTGTATTAAATGAGTATTTCTACTCCGAAAATAGATTACTTAGGATAAAATTATTTGAGAGCATACTTGTTTTTTAATTTCACTGTTTAGCTAAGTTTTTTACTCTTAGTTCAGTTTGTAAATAATTGCATAATAGAATCAGATTTCTGAGCTCTATATTACATATTGAATATATTTTGTGTTATATTTGATGGTATTAAATAATTAGCAGGCATTTTAATTTTATAGTTAATTCAAGTGAAACATTAAGAAGCTTGTCTTTTTGTAATTTTTTATCCTGTTACAGACTACTATATCTAGGAAACATGCAAATTTTAACCATTAAAACAATCATAATAAAGATATTTTATTGCCAGAAAATCTTGTAATTTTGCAGTTTAATACAGGCTCCTACGTTGAAGATCTTTTTGGCCTTAGTTTTTCTGTCAGTAATGTATATGGTTTTGAGGATTAAGTGAGGTACATGAGAAGCTCTTAGAATGGTTTTTGCTATGCTTAAGCACTTAATTCTATTTGCATAATTTAAAATGACTCGTGGAACCGAAAAAAAAAATTTAAGTGGTCAAAAATAACAAAAGAGAACATGGTCTGATTAAGAGGAGGCAGTGAGAGATTTGGTCACAAGCAAGGAAGCAAGCAGCCTGGGAGGGGAGTTGGGCCGGGAGAGCAGCTCGCCGCAGCAGGACAGGAAGGGCCTTGAAGCCGGGCGGCTCGCAGCTCTTCTCCCTGCAGTAAACATTTCCGGCACTTTGTCTAAAATAGGTTGAATTGTCCCAAAGCTAAGACTAGTAGAACTAGGACATTTTAATAATTACACGATTTTCCCAAATATCAGTGGGTTCTGCCTAGTTTATTTATGGAGAAAAACAAAGATACTGAAATCCGTATTGTTACTTAAAGGCACTGAAGCTGTGGTTACCTCGCTCAGACCCGAGTCCCTCTCCTAGTGACTGTTGGCAGCCCTATTTCTGGAGGCTAGTGGCCTTTGTGCCAACCCCCTCCCCAGCCAAGGAGGAAGGGGCAGGTATGAGTAGTCGCACGCCTCAGTTTCTGTTTTGAAGCACAGTGTTTCTTAGCTAAATAGGAAATTGAGCACAAAGTACATCCTGACTCGGTCATTGAGCTTGCTCTGGCGCTCTCCCGGGGCCAGGCGTTGTGATCAGTACCACTGGATACCCCGAGACGAGTAAGACAGTGGCTGCCTTTCAAAAGCAGGCCCTGGCCGGGGGCTCGATTGGAGCGTCATCCGTACACCAAAAGGCCGCAGGTTCGATTGCTGGCCAGGGCACATCCCTAGGCGGCGGGTTCCATCCCCAGTCGGTGCGTATGGGAGGCAACCAATCGATGTTGCTCTCTTACATCAGTGTTTCTCTCTTGTCTCTCCTCCTCTCTCTGAAATCAAACATAAACTCAGGTGAGAATAAAATAAGTGAAAAAACAGCAGTTAGGTTGGATTGTCTGAGTTCTAATCCCAGTGACGATTGGATTAATGGCAGTGTGAGTTTGGGCATGTTACCAAACCTGAGGTAATACATAGGTTGCATTTAGCAAATCCTTGGTACATGGTAACTGCTCAATAAATGCATTTTAGGACGAAATAATGGTCACAGGAAAGATCTTACGTTTGCCAGGTTACGTATGTGAGTTTACTTTTTCCTATCTTAATAGAAACGGGCTCATGGCCTGTGATGAAGTGTCTGCAGATTCAAATGAAGGGTCGGAGGACTCAGTACTAGCAATTCTAGAGATCACTGAGTTTGTCAATAGAAAAAGACAATTCTAGAAGCTTAATTGTAGTTGTGGTCTTCACATTGGAAATGAGTTTTGTGTTCTTGAATCAAGAACGTTCTGAACCTTTTTCTTCAAGCTTCACCTTTCTGAAGGTTGCTGAGTTGAAATGATACTAGTTACCTTCGAGCGCTTCTGGAATACCCTATTTTCCCAAACATGATGTGACAGAATTGGAATTCATTCCTATTCTTCCTTCCCCATTTCCAAACCTTATGTATCCGTGACTACTGTTTGAGTCACTGGGATTTGAAGCTTAATGTTATCTAAACCTGTTTCTTCCATAGTCTTCCCCAGTCCTAGTAAGATTCTTCACTGTCTACCAGGTGCTCAAAACAAAATCCAGGAGTTATCCCTGATTCCCTTCT